TCTATAAAAAGGTCAGTGCTGCTTACTGCTCTAGTTTCTTATTTTTCTTCAGTTTCAGCTCACTCAGATTTAAGCTCACAAGAACCCAATATTTCCAATGTATTTGTTGATTTTTAAAGTCTTTTGGCATGCAACTTCTCCACAAAAGGGACAATCTCGAGTACAAGGTAAATTTTCTTCGTACCTACAAATAAGATCCATGGCTATTTTTGTACCAAACATTATATTATGATGTATTATCATCTAGTTAGTTTGCTGTGGTGTTGGTGTCGTTCTGATGTTTTTGTATTGAAGACGTTCACTAAGAAATGACAATAACAATACCAATAATAATACTTGATATTGAATATTTTATGTAATTTATGTAGTGATTTTTTCTAAAGATTCTATTGGGTTGTTTTAAGGTAACTAAGGGAGAATTGGTTTTGTATTATGACAGAAGTGGATTTGGTAAAGGTTCTAGAACATTGTTTACCTGTCAATTTCCTTTTTCTTATAAAATGTAGAGCTTGCTATTTTTTAGATGGGGGAAACTGATGTTTTTGTGGAGGGGGATGAATTACTCATTCCAAGCTAATGAGGAGGTAGAATAAAATGCAAGAGTGTCGCATATTATGGGGTATGAGGCTTGAAAAATTGTCTGCTATTTCAAGATTGTTGTAAAAGTGGTTCCCTATCAAGTAGAAATCTAGCTAGCCTCATTTCAGCAATTTTGTCCCTGCCTTGTGAAATCTGTGCTGATGGTATTTCTAAATTCCTCTGCATGGAAAATATTTTTGTGAAATCTATCTACTATGTTTTTTATTTCCTTCTACCTCTGTCTACCGTAAGTGGTTTCTGTTGGTGTCCAATACACAGTAGCCATGATAGGATATGATCCTGAAGATAAGAATGCAGTTCTAGAACTGATATATAACTATTGGGTTACCAATTATGACAAAGGAAATGGTTATGCACGGGTAGATTCCATTATTTTCTGTTTTCAGAAGAAGGCATTATTTTCTGTTTACAATGACTTACTCATTGTAAGAATGCACCTTATTGTGTTTGGATAGATTGCCATAGGCACGAATGATGTTTATAAGACTGCAGAAGTAATAAAACTTTTTGGAGGGAAGATAATTCGTGAACCTGGGCCTTTGCCAGGTATCAACACCAAGATAGCAGCTTGCTTGGACCCTGATGGTTGGAAATCGATATAGCCCCTTGTTCATTTCACTTAAATGATACTTGTTATGTGGCTTGAAGCCTCAACGTTGCACCTATCAGAATTGTGTTCGTGTGATAGTAACAGCCAAGTTTAGGCGATGAGTTAAAATGTTGTGACTTGTAATTTTGAGTGGATAACTACAATTTAGGTGATGTACTTAAAGTAGTTTATTGTACAATTATTTCATGTATGACATGAGAAATTAACCATTTATCTAAAGCAGGAAACCAGAAGTAGAAGTCTCAAGAGCTTGATGAGTGCTTTGATTTTTCTCATATTAAATTAGTTTTTCCATACTCCAAACCATCTTTTCCAAGTATTGCATGTCATGCCTTGGTTTCATTAATAGCTTGACTTATCTATCATTTCATGCAGGTATTTGTTGATAATGTTGATTTCCTTAAGGAATTGAAGTGACAGGAATATTAGATTCAATACTTCTTCATGAAGGCAGGGGGGACCCGGGCAATTTTGTCCGTTTAATCAGTCTTATTGATAACTTACAATCTTGAGAATCTACTGCCAATTAGAATGTACATCGCCTGTCTATTGACCATTCCCTTTGTATATTGTTGTAGCAGTGATAAGTTTCTTTATCATGCCAGCTAATGGTTTTTGAGAGGTTGAAGACATTTATTTGATGACTTGTTTAGAGAAGAAAAATAGGGAAAGAACATTAAAAATCATAATCACACCAATGACTGCTTATGTACTGTTTCCATTTTCGTCTCAATGATAGTTTTATTTTTTGCCCAGAAACGCATTAGAAATTTATGTTTTCCGAGAGTATCCGGATGGTAAAGCACACAAGCATACAGGATATACATGATTATGAAAAAAGAGGTTAGCAATGCAGCATCTATGGAGTCCTTGTTCTTAAATCAAGAACCTGTATAAAACAGAGCAGCGGTGAACAAGGATACTAGTAAAAGACAAAATTATTATGAATACTGTCTGGCCCCTGAGCAATGCTTGATGAATTCAACGACCACAGTTGCTGCATTCATGGTGGCGAGATGCAAGAACTCGGTACCAGATATAGCTCTAAAAGCAATGAAGGGTACCCTCTATTGAAAGGATGTTAGCGCCACGGATGCACTTTCCATGTCTATGGGACTTACGTTCAACTTACTATATATGAAGCTCTTGTAAGCTGAATTTAATAGGAATATGCTTGCGCTTCCTCCTCTTAGGACTCTCACAACCTTTGGCCTTCTCAAGAAACATGTTGAGTTGAAACTCCTTTCCAGTCTCAACTCCTAATCAATCAACATGCATGGGGATCAATGTAGTGGCCATTAGTAATTTAATGTTATTGGTACTAAGGGACCCAACAGTCAACAGCTTTTGAGACATTTGGAAGAACATGGAATCAACAAGAATCTAAAAGGTATGTTGCCTTCCTTCAGGAGTGCCATCAACGGGAGAAATTTCCTCTAGTTGGTGCCATATTGTTGAGCAGATTGTCATATGAGCTTCCATAATCGATGTTTGTGGTGTAATCAACAAATTTTAAGTAGCCTATTTCCCTGGTATAATCTCCATTGGCTTCTAAGGGTAACTCATCCTCAGGCCCCTGTCATATCGTTGCATGATACCACCTAATGTTAGAACGCAGGCTTTGGTAACCAGGACCTGGGGGAGAATCAATGTGCCAAATTTTGATAGACAATTGTTCTTGTATATATTGTTTTCATACATGATCTACCTGCCAGCTCCAAAGAGCTAAATGTTCCTAATGTTGAGGAATCAGTACATCTCCAATATTTAGAGATGGGTTTACATTCCCCGCAGTGCCACAATGCGATACTCCTTTCACTTGGAAAAAGCTCAGCAAGAGGTGAGTGGTTACTGTTGCATTTTTCTGCACAATAGAGTACTCATTTTAAGAGCAGACGTGTGTCATTATAGCTTGTCAAGAGGAAAGAGGGTTTCGCAAAATGCAACTATACCATGCTTAATCCTATCATTACCAGTATAACAGGCTGATCATGAATAGCTCCGAAACGAAATCTCTTGCCTTCATTACAAACCAAGAGATAATTAGCAAGTATGCAAAGAGAAAGCTCTTGTCTCAAGTGATTTCAAAGTAAAAAGATAGAAATCGAACGATGGTTTCTTTAAATAAAATGACGACTTGAGTGCCGTTGACCATGTTTCTCGCAAAATTTGTCATGGAGAACTGGAAAAGAGGAAATAAAGCGTACCGGCAAAATCTATGTTAGTGCGTGTGGAAGTGCGGAGAGTGGAGAAGAGGATTCAACTCAAACGCATTAGGTATGACCAAACCTACGTAGCATTCTTGTTGGTTTACCTCAGCAATTTTGCACAGCAGACCCAGCGTCAGAGCACCACTTGCATGTTAAAATGCATTAACCCACATCAACGCCGCAAGCAATTTGAGTAAGAAAAAGATACTTCAACCAAAAAAGGGCAAGTGGAAAAATGAAAATCGTCGATAGCAGGATTCGAACTTGTGCAGGTAGAGCCTAACAAATTTCAAGTTTGTGTCCTCAACGACTCTGACGCTTGCTGAACCTACGTTCATTATATCTAGAGCCACCCAGGAACTATCAAGATGTGATATTGCAACAGTAGAAATTGTTAATTAAATATTTTTTTTAAGAATGGTCATATTCACTCTACTATAAAAAAAAAAAGTTAGCAATACACAAACTCATATTATTCAATAATGCTAACTGCCATGAAATTAAGGATGAATATAAACAATGCAAATTTCATTTCAAAGATGAATGCACCGTATTCATTCTCAAAATGGGTAGAGATTTTTTTTTCCCCCTGGCGACTGACAATCTAAATTTCAAATCCATGGTTATACAAAGTAAGCCATTGAAATTAAATGGTAAGATATTATAATCTAAACGTTCAAGAATATTATGTTCGAATTTTCAAATTTTATTTTTGTATTATAATATTTAAGAACTAAGCAGTGTGAGTCTATATATCAAGTAGAATAAAAAGTGTCCAATTTAAATGGGAAAATTGATCTAGGGTGTGAGCAATTTTATCGGGTTAAAAAGATCAAAGTAGAGTAATAAATATGTATTTTTTTTGGCATATAATGATGTAGAGGCAGTAATTTAAATTAAATTTGAGCTGTCAATTTGAATAAGCCCAACAAATTTTAAAGCCAAACTTGAAAGTTAAAAAAAAAAAAATTAACTTCAAGCTCATTTAAGTCACTCAAAGAAATCTGAATCAAACCCAAACTCAAATAGATTTAGTTCAAATGTTCAAATTCATTTTTTTTATTATCAATAAAATAATAAAAAAATAAAATAAAAATTAAAAAAATGTTATTTTTTTTATAATTTGAATATTTTAAGAATAAAATCAATGAATTACAATTGAGTTTGATTATATGAATTTTTTTTATATGAGAAGATACTCTAAGCTTTATCCAAATTATTGACTCTCCAATAATGTAATCTCACCAAAACCAAGCAACCGAATTTAATGATGAGAATGAATAAATAATAATTAATAATTATATAAAACAGTAATATCTGACGTCGGCAAAAAAAAACTCTGCTGCAATACGGATAAAACGGCATAAATAAAATGTATATAATATTAATATTAATTATTAAATATTAATATAATGATTAATAACGATAATGATTAATATTAGTAATCAATTAATTCATTAATTGATTAATTCATCAATAATTGACGACATCGAGAAAAATAACGCAAGTCTTCGCCGGTGAATACTCGAATTGGAACGCTGCGTTTTAAAAAAGCCGGCTTGTATGTGTGACGCAGACACACACAGAAGTCCCAGTTTCTGTGGTTTTTCACTCCCGTCACTGGCTCTTCTCAGATCCGTCTGGCTGTCATCCGGCGAATCGATTCTGGCTGAGTCGCCATGGTCATGGCGATTAGGGCTTCTTTTGTTCTTCTATTATTTCTCTCGTATGCCCACTTTAGCTTTTCGCTTTACGAAGATCAAGTTGGCCTTATGGATTGGTGAGTTCAATTTCTTGTGTATTTGCTGCTCTTCTTGGTCATTGAGAAGGAAGGTTGATGAAAATTTTTACCTTTCGAAGTTTTACCATTGCTGGATACTTAGTTTACTGCTTTTAGTTTGACCCTTGATGCTGGTCTTTGATTTATTGTTTATCAATTCAAACGTGCTCGGATTGTTAATCAAATTCATGTATCCTTAGTTATTGATCGATCAATACCCGCGGCCTCGGATCCATCTAGATTGATTATTTTCATAGCGGATTTCATTCAAACTTTTGAAAAGTATTTCGGAAACTTGGCGAGCTGATAGCCTGTTTATACTGTTTAATACAGCTGTAAATTAGACATTGCTTGTGATTTGAATTTGTTATATCATTCCAGATACTCAGGTGCTTAATGTTTTCGAGTTCTATAGTATTCCTATATCTACAGTACCTGCAACCCCAGAAAATCATGTGATGAATTTGCCTGTAGAGTTCACAAGTTTATGTTGTAATGGTTTTATCTTCTCTACATTTTAAATATGCGACCACAAATTGCAGGCACCAGCAGTACATTGGGAAAGTAAAACACGCTGTGTTTCATACTCAAAAGACTGGACGAAAGCGGGTTTTGGTGTCCACCGAAGAGAATGTTCTTGCTTCTCTTGACCTTCGTCATGGAGAAATTTGTAAGTTTGATTTGTTCAACTGGTTTCTCAGGACTCTCAGTAATTTAGTTTCTAAAAAATTTTGTAATGCCTACAAATTTGCAAGACGAATGTTATTAGCATTGAATTTATTAACTTGTGACCAGCATGAAATTAAATAAAACTTTCCCGAGTAATATTATTGCTTTCTCAATTATCTGTTCTGATTTGTGAATCCCTCCATTTGAAATCAGAAATTGCTGAACTATGTTTCACTTTTTCGCAGTTTGGAGGCATGTTCTTGGGACCAACGACGTAATCAATGGACTCGACATTGCCCTGGGAAAATGTATTATGCTTCAGCTTTCTTTGATATCTACTTGTAGAATGTTAATCATACCGTCTAACAGTTATTGTAAATGGGCTGCTTATAACTTGTCTGATTAAAATTTCATGTCATGAGTATGACTCAATAATGTCCAAGGTTCTTTTCTCTCCATGATATTTTGCTAGTCCTTTCATGTGTTGTTATCTAAAACTTGTGTCTATTTTGAATGTATAATTATGTCTTTGGCCCTCAACTGGAAGCTATGGTCCTCCACCAACATTTGTAAACAATAAGAAACAAGTATCCTTTTGCATGCGTGGTCATCTGCATCTCCATGTTTTCTTTACTGATTTTCCATTGCAGAATCACCTGAAGAACTTGTAAATTATATACATTGGCCCTGACTCATCAATTAATGTTCTTTATATTCTGGCTTGACCGTCCTTCTGGAAGATATTAACACACAAACATGTTATCCCATGAAGAGAGAAAAGCTAATTTCAAAAGGATATCTCTTTCATTTTGATTACTTGTCATGTCTATTGCCCACATGTCTTTGGGTTATGTGCACCTGAAATGAAAGTTCTTTGGTTTTGGCTATGACATTGTTTTGGATACTGTATGACGTTAATGAACCAACGAAAGTCAGCGTAGCCACTTACACCATCACCATTGAATCATGGTGATGTCAATGATTGATGAGCTTGAAATTTAATTTGTTTTATTATACTTGTATGCGTTTTTTTGCTTTGTAAGTGATTTTTCAGTATATATTTGATAAAGTAATCGGCCTATATTGGTGATCAAATTCATTATTGTGCATTGAATTGTTTCAGATGTTATTACTCTTTCCTCTGATGGTAGTATATTGAGAGCATGGAACCTTCCTGATGGCCAGATGGTTTGGGAGTCTTTCCTTCCGGGCTCAAAAGCTTCAAAGTCAATATTAAATATTCCTGTGAGTAAATGATTTGTTGGACATGCCAGACTTTTTAATGTTAGATATACATGTCATGCAATATTTGTATTTGATAAGGAAAGAAGGCAGTTTAGAACAAGAAGAAATAGTACCAGATGGGAGAGCACTGTACTACATCATCCAGACAGTGAAACAATGCACAGAACAAAATGGGCTTAAATTGCAGTTTTCATCCATATAGGCTTGTACTTTTAGCAAACCTGCTATTCAATCCTCATCAGCCTATGCTTATCCCTCAGTATCATTCTTATCTCTGTCATGAACCTGCCCTTCTTGCTGGGTCATTAGTAATAACTAAAGTTGTAGTTGATAATACACAAAATTTTCCATATATATGCAATAACTGGTATTATTATTTTTGCAGAAAAATTTTAAAGCAGAAAGGGATGATTTGATTCTTGTTTTTGGTAATGGATGTCTTCATGCTGTTTCCAGCATAGATGGTCAGATTCTTTGGAAGAAAGATTTTGCAGGTGAAAGGTATGATGCATATGGAGTTTTGTTGAGCTTATTATTCTTTTATGTAGTGTAAGGCCATGTTACTTATGCTGTCATCTTCATCTTATTTGCAGCACTGATGTTCAGCATCTTATTCAGTCTCCACATGATGATATAATCTATGTAGCTGGTTTTTCTGGCTCTTCAAAATTTGTTGTACATCAGTTCAAAGCCAAGAATGGAGACTTGTTAAAGTACAATGATGCGGCATTTCCCTGTGGTACTTTTGGGGAATTATTATCAGTCTCCAATGATATGCTTGTGATATTGGATGATATCAAGTCAAAGATAGTAACAATAAACATCAGGAATGGAGATATTAACTTCAACCAGAAGTATATTTCAGAGCTCATTGAGGATTCATCTGGGCAGGCAGTCATTTTACCATCAAGGCTTCCAGGAATGTTTGCTTTAAATCTCAATCCCCATGTTATCCTTCTTAAATTGACAAATGAAGGTGATTTGGTTGCCGTGGACAAAATAAATAATGCTGCAGCTATTAGTGATGCTCTATCCATTTCAGAGGGTCGACATGCTTTTGCATTTGTTCAACATGAAGACAAGAAAATTCATCTTTACGTGAAGGATGTCAATGCTGATGCTTTGGATGGTGACTTTCTTAAAGAAAGCATAGTAATAGACCCTCAAAGAGGGTATATTGATAAAATTTTTATAAACAACTATGTCAGAACAGACAGATCTCATGGGTTTAGGGCATTGATGATAATGGAGGATCATTCACTTGTACTAGTACAACAAGGAGAGATTGTTTGGAGTAGAGAGGATGGCCTTGCTGCAGTTGTAGATGTAACAGCATCAGAACTAACTGTGGAAAAGGAAGGTGTATCTGTAGCAAAAGTTGAACAGAATCTCTTTGAATGGCTCAAGGTATAACTGCCATTTGTATACTATAAACCTGGACGTCTACCTGCTTAATCCAATGCTTGTGATTCAAAAGAGAAACACTTGTAATTGCTGGCAAGAAAATGAGAAACACACTTGGGTTCTGTTTGGTTGCCAAAAAAGATAGGAATGGAATGGATTGAAAAAAATCAAAACATAAATGAACTAAATTATCCTTCTCCCTCATGAATATAGTTCACTTATCCCCCTCCACATTTTGATCATTTTATTTTTGGTTTTTTTTTTCATTCCATTCATTTCTAGCAACTAAACGGGCTCTTATAATTATTGGCATGCCTCTGTGCATGGATAAAATACTTTATAATGTTTGTGCAATTTCTACTCTTATTTTTTCTGACTTACGAAATGTGGTTGGGATATTTTTAGCTGCTTCTTTAACTGTGCATTTTCGCTGCAATTATTTATTGTTGAAAGGGACACATGCTGAAGCTCAAAGGAACTTTAATGATTGCAACCCTAGAGGATGTAGCAGCAATCCAAGCGATGAGGTTGAGGAGTTCGGAGAAAAGCAAAATGACTCGTGATCATAATGGATTCCGTAAGTTACTTATAGTGCTTACCAGGGCAGGAAAAGTTTTTGCCTTACACACTGGAGATGGACATGTAGTTTGGTCTGTGCTATTACGCAATCTACGTAAATCCAAAGCATGTGAACGTCCAGTTGGGATTAATATTTATCAGTGGCAGGTTCCACATCACCATGCATTGGATGAGAATCCATCTGTCCTTGTAGTTGGGCAGTGTGGCTCAGGTTTGGCTGAACCAGCTGTTCTTTCTTTTATTGATGCATACACGGGGATGGAACTCAATGCTTTGAGTCTTGCTCATACCATCGCTCAAGTTATTCCACTTCCTTACACCGATTCAAAAGAACAGCGTCTACATCTAATCATAGATGCTGACCAGAAAGCTCATTTATATCCCAGAACACCCGAGGCTATTGAGATTTTGCAACATGGGTTTTCGAATGTGTACTGGTACTCAGTTGAGGTGGATAATGGTATTATTAGAGGTCATGCCTTGAAGAGTAATTGCATTGGTGAAGTAGTGGATGAATATTGCTTTGTCTTCAGGGACTTATGGTCAGTTGTATTTCCGTCTGAATCTGAAAAGATCATAGCAACTGTGACAAGAAAATCAAATGAGGTATGGTGTCTTTGGTAAATGACTTTTTTTAGTTGAAAATAATAGTCCTCCTTCAAATTGGGAATTTCAAATTCTACTACACCTGTTATTGCCTCCAATACCTCCAATGTTCTAAGTTTTTTGTTCAATGTTTGTTTCCTTTCATTATCTATAGTGCCTGTTCATGGATGCATACTTTACTCACTATATTGTCTTTTCCTATCACAAGGTGGCTTTGTTAGAAACCTATAACAGTAAGATTATGTAAGACTATTGACATGAGGAATTCCACAAATTTGCAATTTTTCTCCTGTGGCAAGTAAATTACTGCTTTCTCCTAGCTTTATTGCGTTGGTTTTTTCCCCATTTTTATTACCTAGGTGGTTCATACTCAAGCAAAAGTCATGACTGACCAAGACGTCATGTACAAGTATATATCAAAAAATCTGCTTTTTGTTGCAAATGTGGCCCCAAAAGCCAGAGGTGAAATTGGAACAGTAACACCAGAGGAGGCATGGCTGGTTATCTATATCATTGATACTGTAACTGGCCGCATATTGCACCGCATGACTCATCAGGGTTGTCAGGGTCCTGTTCACGCTGTAAGCATTTTTAACCACTTGATCATTAAAATGGTGCCCAACACAAAGACTTTATCTCACTCACTGGAACATAAATTTTATAGGTATTTAGCGAAAACTGGGTTGTGTACCACTATTTTAACCTTAGAGCACACAGATTTGAGATGTCAGTTGTTGAAGTCTATGATCAATCTCGAGCGGTATGGCAGTGAACTTTTCTTTGTATAAAGATCTTCCTTGTATATTTAAATGTTTGTCAGTAATTTTAAACTTGAATACAATTCACAGGATAACAAAGACGTGTGGAAGCTTGTTCTTGGAAAGCATAATCTTACATCGCCTGTCTCTTCATACTCCCGACCAGAAGTCGTAGCTAAATCACAATCATACTTCTTTACCCATTCTGTGAAAGCAATAGAAGTGACTTCAACCGTCAAGGGCATAACCTCCCAACAGATTCTTATTGGAACAATCGGTGATCAGGTTTGGGACACCACTTTTTCTTTTGTTGGAATACCTGTTCTATAAGAACTTTAGAACCAAGAGATCTGTATTGGCTGCATCCCCTGCGCAATTTACTTTTTTCTCATTTACTGTCATTCTCCAATAAAATCTAATGATCCTTCTTACATTTTCTGCATATCAACTGGGAAATTACCTTCTGCAGGTTTTGGCCCTTGATAAGCGTTATTTGGATCCTAGGCGAACAGTCAATCCCTCGCAAGCTGAGAGAGAAGAAGGAATTATTCCTCTTACAGATTCATTACCGATCATTTCTCAGGTAGCTTTTGTCTGTTTAACTTCTTGTTCTTGCCTTTCCGCAAAGCAGACGCTATGTGTGTGACTGTACAATCATTGCAATCAGTTGCCATATGAGAACATAGTGGTGTCTTTTTAATTTGCCTGCATGCTAACAGGTTATCTTTCTTGTAGCTTGTTTATAGTAAATGTTATATTGTTCAAGGTGAGGTACTATGGGAAGAAGGAAGATAGGGGAGGGTAAGGGGGATTCATTTTGAATGGAGAAATTTCCTTCTGCAGGTTTTGGCCTTCGTAGTCCTTGTGAGATGAATCAAAAGTTCAGCTGATAGACAAACTTTCCAATTTATTCTTTCCAGCGTGCTGCGGTGGTATAACCATGTTTGCATGAGGCATGCATACCAAATTTGTAGAATGGCTATCTATCTTTTAGCTGATATATTTGTTACATGGATGTTGTTTGCTAAGACGACATGATAGTCCTCTAAACGATTATAAAAATTAGGACTTCAAGGGCCAGCTTTTACTCTTATACGATATTGTTTGCTATGACTGGGATTTAAATGTCTGCCTGTAATTAGTTGGCCTATGTAGGCCTGTTTGGGCAAATGCCTGACCACTACTTGAACCCCAGTTTCTGTTGAAGGTTAACAAGTATTCTGCTTGAATCTCTGCAGTCTTACATTACGCATGCCCTTAAAGTGGAAGGTCTCCGACGTATAATAACAATACCTGCCAAGTTGGAGTCTACTTCACTGGTCTTTGCATATGGAGTAGATCTATTCTTTACTCGGATAGCACCTTCAAGGATCTACGATTCATTAACCGAAGATTTCAGCTACGCACTACTTCTTATTACAATTGTTGCGCTTGTAGCAGCAATTTTTGTTACCTGGATATTATCGGAGAGGAAAGAACTACAAGATAAGTGGAGGTGATGTTTCATCATTTTTGCTTGGAGTTTCTTTTAAGTTCTGAACATTTAGTAGGTTTTACTCAGTTTTCTCGACAAGGGAGGCACAATCGAAACTTGTAGCTCTTATTGCAATTTTTAATGTAAAATTCAATTAATTTAGGATGATTGGAGGATGATAATTTAAATGTTGTAAATTTAGTAGTATGAAATAGGGTCAGACTCGCGCCCTTTCAATGTGAAAGTACGGTGGATTGCAGCTGGCGGTACGTTCCACTTTATTTTCTTCAATGCCTCATTTAGCGATGAAAATGGGTTTTGGTTTGAGACGGTGTTATGGATTTTTTCGTTAGTCATTTCCCTCTTTGATTAGTTGCGGTCTTACAGATTCAATTCTTGAATTTCAATGTTGGGATATTTTTTCCTCCTCAGTTCCGAGTTGAATCATTGGGATACAATGATAATGTTTTCTTAGTAATTGAGATTGGTTAAGACTGCAACGAATGCTGAGGACAGCGAAACACACGGTGGTGTAAAACCTAGAGATGATATTTGGGTTTCTTGTAAGTGAAGACACGCATAGTATGAGAAGGTTTTGGAATACACAGAAGTGGAGGGCAGGTAGAAGACAGTGTTGATCGTCGAGGAAGCACAGCGATTCCCTGATTGCACGTGGCTAACAAATCCATTGCTGGAAGACTGAAAGTGGTTGTGTCATTTATTAGTGTGTGGAGTTGACAAGGACAAGGAGATATTCCACTCCACGGTTGCCTCAAGTTATGTGGACGTGCGCCCACGTAGTTCATCTAATCCGTTCTTCTTCCTCAAACTATTGCCTTGAGCTGTATCTACTATCTAGTTGTTGAATTGAAAACGACGGAGCTGGACCAGTCATTCAGTTGCATGAATTATAAGGTTAAATGCTCTCTTCATCCCAAGTTATTGGACAAATTGAAATAAGATTATGTGTAATAATAAAAGTCAATAATAATACTTGATAAATTTACTTTTACAAACCAAAATCATGAACTTTTAATAATGTTCTTACATACTTAATTATTACATATTACACTATAATATCATTTTAGTTATCTCTCTATTTGAAATATAATAGTAGAAGAGAAGAGTATCATTAGTGAAATTTTATTTTTTTCAAATTATATTATATTTTGAAAGAATAAAATTTTTTAAAAATTATTTTATAATTTGGAGTGGAGGAAGTAATGTTTTATTTATTCTTATAATTTTAATAATTTTCTCATAACTAAAGCAAGGCATGATGAGGTTTTCTTTAATTAGCAAGTGAATAGCTGAACTGTTGAGACGTTTTTGAGTACATGAATAATGTGACGGGAAGCATTCGATTGAGATGGGACGGGCAATATGTATTAATTTGCCAACAAAGTCAGGTGGATGAATATTACAACGTTAGGCTGTCATCTAATCATGGCTGTCATAAGTTTATATTCGGACGGCGACGGGGAGCATGTCAGAATCACGTGCGAGTTGGCGTTGCTCAGTTTCAGGCACTGCCCACGTGATGCATGCTTGTCCCTATTCTCCCTTAAGCCATGTTTGGTAGGTTGGAATTGTGAAGATGGAAATGAAATTGGGATAGGAATCTGAATAAAGTAATGTTTGATAGATATGAATTACAATTCTTGGGAATCCTAATTCTATGAAAAAAAGCTAATTTGAATTCCTTATGTAAATCTATGGAATTGGGAGCAATTCTATAGAATTGTAATATTTAAGACACTCTTGCCCTCATACAAATTCCAAAAAGACAAATTTGCCCTAAAAAAAATAAAACCCTCATATGCTAGCAAAAAAAAGAAAAAGGGAGTATAAAAGGGTGAATGATATTTTTGCTCATTATATATAAAACGTTATAATATATATATAAGATAGTATTATATATAATATTTGTATATAATTTATATATTTATAATATTTTTTGGTATAAGAAGTAGAATTGATTTGTTTGACATTTTTCTTCTAAATCTACATGTTAGTGTATTTATTTTAAAGTAGAAGGGATGAGAACCATTGCCAATTTTATTTTCAAAAAAATGTTCCCTCTGATGATAAAACTTTTTGTTCGGCCCAGCTAGTGAATAATAGTTACAGATATAATCTATGATTTATAATATTTCATTAATATATAAAATACATAAGAAAATTGGTACACAATTAAGTTTTTATTATGTTTTATTTTAATTTTTATATAGGGGTATTTTTGTCTTTTAAGTATAATTTTATTTTCATGTCTTGCATACCAAACAAAAGTAATGCAAAGATTCCATCTAATTTTCTTGACATACCAAACATACTTTTATAATTCAATTCTATTCCAATTCTGATTCCAATTTCAATTTCAATTCCATCAAAAACTATTCCATCATACCAAATGGGGCCTTAATCTATCTATTTTGTAGGATAAAAAAGAATTTTATAAGTCATTTAATTAAATTTTTAATTTAATTTTTTATCATCTATTAAATATTATAAAAATAAAATATATTATTAAAATATACATATTTAATAAAAAATTTAAGAATTTATTAAATTTTAAGACAAAGTTGTAGAGTTTTAAAGTGTTATTTGACGCTAGTGAAATATATTAAAAATAATTTATAAATAGAACTAGAGAAATACATCTTGACGTTTAACCATAATATCATGTTTTGGGAAAATAACATTTAAGTTTCAAATGAAATTAATTAATTTAAATTAAATCTCAACCAATTACAAATTATCAACAAAGTCTCTTAGCCCTTCAGTAATAGTAAATTTAATAATTTTATAAATTTAAAAGTTTGGCTCTTAATTTTATAATTTTATTATGATACATTTATAATTTTTTTTAAACTTTAATAGAGTTGAAGAATAAATAATAGGTAATAAAAAATAAATGATCTATCTATTTTATTGATAAACAAGCAATGGGTAAAGAATGAATAATAAACTCAATTTCTTTTAACATTAAAAATAAATATTTGTGTTCCTGTTAAAATTTTAAAAAATAAATTGTAAATGTATTATAATGAAATTATAAAATTGAAAGTCAAATTTACAAATCTCTAAAGCTATTAAACTTAATATTTCTCAATATTAAAAATAAATAATTATATTTTTGTTAAAATTTTAAACATAAATTGTAAATATATCAAAATAAAATTATAAAATTAAAAGTTGAATTTGCAAATCTCTATAGCTATCGGATTTAATAGTTTTCAACATTAAGGATGGACATTTGTATTTCATGTTAAAATTTAAAAAATAAATTATAAATACATCATAATAAAATTGTAAAATTAAAAATTGAACATGTAAATTTTTGGAGTTACATTTATTACCATTAAAGAATCAACAGAATTTGTTAACACTCTAAAATTAATTAAGATTTAATTTGAATTAATTACTCCTTTGACAGTTGACACTTACTCCCACCATTTTTATTTATAAAAGAAACTATTATTTTAATTTTTTTTATATAAGTAAAATCACATTCTTCAATAAGCATTTATTACAAACTTTTTAAATTATTCTTTATAATTTTATTATTCATAATCATAAAAAATAATTAATAAAGGTTTAATTAACACAATTAATAAAAGATATTATAGTTTAATTTTTTTATTTTTAGACACATTTAGTATAGTAATTGATTTTTTTTAATTGTGATATAATTTTTTTTATCTTACAAATAAAAATGGAGGGAATAACTGTCATCGTCTCTTAATTTTTTTTTTTTGGGGGGGGGGGGAGATGTTCGGATGCAAATCCTTTTTTTCAGCCAAAAGCGATAATCATAACTTTCAAGCTTCAATGAAGGATTCTCCCTTTTTTTTCTGACTCTCTATTCTATGATTTATCTAAGACCAAATCCCTTTTTCAGTTAAAAATTGAAAAAAAATAATATTTTAACCCTTATAATTTCATGTAATTATTAATTTAATCCTTATAGTTTTAATTTTTCAAATCACTCCTTATAGTTTTAGCTATGAAAAAATAACACTTCAATCCTTATAGTTTTATACAGTTGTAATTTGATTCTCCTAGTTTTAATTTTTAAATCACCCCTTATAGTTTCAGCTGTTTGAATTATTAGTTATTAGCCTTTAAACGGTTATGAAATTAATCTAGCAGAGTCTAACTCAGCATGATGCGTATTGGAATTGCTGAGTTAGTTTTTTTTTTTTTTGCAAAAAGAAATAAAAAGTCACACCAGATTAAGCGCAAAGGAGGCTTCACTTTAAATATAATGCAGAGGATAGAACCTTAATGTTTCGACGCTTCTCCTCTCAGAGCTTCACAATACTTTTGGATTTTTTGTGACTGGTGACATCTGAGCATTTCTCCTCTTCCATTCTATGATATCGACAAAGAGATTGTGGCAAAATAACAATATGAAGGAAAAGTCTGGTAGACGATAAAAGTGCGAGGGAAGAAAGAAGAAATAAGGTGTCACTTGAAGGAAAAATCTGAGAAAGAGAGACAATAAAGCTAAAGCGACAGTTGAAGTACCCAACTGAATATTTATTGTCTGGGACATGCGTCAGTCTTGTTGCACTGAAGATCTTAATTTTTGACTGGTGGTTGTAAATTTGGTTGCTGGTCTGGTTATGTTTTCATTCTATTCTTCTTTTCATATTTTAGCAAACAAATGAGACTTTTTATTCTATTATTTTTTTGAATACTTCTACTATTTTTGAGGTTACAGTAGTTCAAAATTTGCAAGTTGCTGGAGTTGGAATTATTTACCCTCTTGTTCAGGAAGATTGTGGTCAATTTGATGCAATGCAAAATAGTGATATGAAGTCTAATTTTTTTTCTAAAAATTGAAGTGCTCAAATTTATCTTTAAAGATCAAAGCATCAAAGCATTTTTTTTCTTGGCATTAAATTGATGCCATTTTTTTTTGGATAACATAAATTGATGCCATTTTATTTGCAATGAAAGTGGTGTATTCTCCGCAAAACTATTTCAAACTGAATCAAGGAAAAGAAACTAAATCAGGTCACTAAAAACGAATAAATAAATGGAAAAGACAAAACTAAACAAAGGAAATCAAATGGCTCATTATTTCTCTATGTTAATAAAGATTATAGGTTCCAGGGACTACAAGCATTAACTAAAGAGAGCATTAATATTATAAATTAAAGAGTTACAGTTGACTCATCATCTTTAATTTTAGAGTTTAAAATATACTTTTTAAAAGATTAAGGTTTAAATCGCCCATAAATTTATAGTTCAGGGTTTAAATTGTACATTAATCCAAACAATAAATATGAAAAGTAAAAAATAAATGAGTATAAATGTAAAAGAAAAAAAAAACATAAATTTACCCAAACCATGAACTACTTTTAGAAATTGATTTATATATCATGGTCCAGGGGCACGGTAATGAAAAGGTAATATATATGCATATTCATCGGTTTTTCTCCATATCCACGTGTTCAAGCACGTGAGATTTTGAGGTGATGCCCATATATTCATCTCTAATCATCATTTTTTATCGTTATAAACACCAAGCCAATGTCTGTAAGCTACTATTCCTGCTTTTGGGTTCCATAATGCCACTTTTGGTACGCTATAATTGAGAGTGGAATTAAAATTCTGAAGTTTGTTTGTTTGGTACGCAGAAACCCAATCTTCTAAAGAACTAATTTTATTAAAATCATGTAACTCACTTTCATCATATCTCAATGAAAACTCAAATCCATCCCTTTCACTTATATAAATTTTTATCCTACCCCACTATCATATCAAACATATTTAAATATCTCACTCTCATTTTTATTCCATTCACAAATTAGCGCTATTGCAGCTTTGACAGTTTTCGAAGTATTAATTAGCGGATTCATGTAAATAAAAGTTTCCAGATGCTACCAAGTGGGTATGGTACAATGACAATGATTTGGATCTTTTAAACATCATTACAGAGTTGGATTATTAAGAGTGTGTGTGGAGAGTATTGTTTGAGAGAGTATAATCCCTTAATGACACTAAAATTTTTCACTAAAATTTTTCAAAGATTAATCTCTTGGTTGCCAACTGTAGAAATATCATGAGAGGAATTCAAAAACATTTACCCAATTTCATAATAAATGCTAGATTTTCAAAAAAAAAAAAGTACATTTACTTTTTTTAATTATATATTTCTTCCATTAAAAAATATAAGATATTTTTTTAGGAGTTGGATTTTAAAAAATATAAGTTATTTTTAGTATTCCAATGCATAATTAATATGTTTTTTTTCCAAAAGTTCATAATAGATAAATCAATTTATATTTACTTTAAAATAAAACAGATTATTAATTATTAAATATAGATAAATGTGGAATGCTAGTGTTAGTCTGAAATTATTAATTACTTATTAAAGGTAAAATTTGATTGAAAATATATTTTATTTTTTAATAAAAAAAAGTATATAACCATATGTATATTTACTGATTGGTGGTTTGAACTTTACTGGATCGTCCCCTTTTAATTTGTTGATGAACGTTTAACATATATATATGTGTGTGTGTGTGTGTGTGTTAAAGTTGATCAAATGCAGAGAATTGCAGGAAAATATGAGGGATGTGAATGGGAAATGTCTAACGGCAACAACTGTCGTAGGATCCAGGAAATTAGTGGGAAATGGGTTGAAGAATAATGGCGTGATCTTCACAGGCTATCCAGTAGTTCGATATACACAACCCTCAGGTTCGCGCTTGTATTCAACGAGATTTGACGCGTCGTGTCCCTTGGTCCCAGAATCAACGGACTGTTCTCATACGAGAGCGCTGCAATGTTCTCTGCATCCACCTTCGGGGATTTCGTGTGTGATGGGAAAAAACTGAGAGACTTGAACCCACAAAACCTCTGTGGCCTGGACATCTACAATGGCTTCTTAATACGCTTTATCAAAGCCTCAAATGCATATCTGGGCCAATCCCAAGACTCGGTGGTGATTGATTTCAACTATTACCGTGCGGACGACCCTTCAACTCCGAGCTTAATCGTGGAAGTGTGGGAAGGTGGTGGAGTGGCGTTCTTCAAATATGGAGCCAAGCCACATTGGGCCAAGAATTGGAATGTGGCTTTCTTGGGTGTGCAGGATAAGTTTGAAGGGTTCATTACAGCCAAGCAACTATTGGATCCTGAAAATAGGTTCTCAAGTAAATGGTCAGATGACGTAGTGTATGGCAAACGAGGGGAAAAGTTGACAGGTGTGCGTTGGAGGGCTGTGTATATGTTCTGAAGACGGACATTGCAGTCCACGAAATGGGTATTTCTGCAGACAAGGCCTTGTCTACAAACAAGCTCGAGTTTGTAGTCACTCACCATAATCCTCCATCGCTTGATGCTATTTTAATTCGGGGTGCATGTACATGTATGTTGTCCTATTTGTGATCAGAATGATATAATTTATATAATTAATAAGTGAGAATTCACATTTTATGGGAAAGTTTCTGAATTCTGTATGGTAAACATGTATAAGCAATTACGGATCAGTCATGGATTGCATAGACTATAGAGTACCGCATGACCCTAGCCAGTTCCTAAGCTCACTTTCATACAATATTTGGTCAGTCATGAAGTGAGATAAGTAAACAGTCTGTTATTTTCCCAGACAAATAAACATATATGTCACTCGAGTTTCCCAAAATTTGAACTCTCATGCTGGTTGGGGGGAAAAAAAGAACTCTTCGTTGTTACGTTATGCAGAAAACGAGTAGATGATGATGAAAATCATAATGCAAAAAAAAAAAAAAACAATGATGAAAAAACTAACGCCTATTATATCTCCTCGTAATTGCCTCCAGAAAATAGCGAAAATTGATTAATTACAGAGTCTATCTTTGGCTTTGCACCTCTGGAATGACATTGGACCCTTTCACTTCTATTCTATATGTAGTTTTTGTGAAAAATTACGTGAACCCCGGCCAGATAAATAATTTAGTCTTCAAATATTCATTAGCTTAAGTGGAATAAATATGAACTCCCGAAATTCGGGCATATGTGAAATTCATTCTGGGGATGGAAATTTGATGGAAACTAGTGGCTGTGAATGTGTCGGCATTGATGAGTGAATAATTGCGAGTCCGTCTGTTGGGGGATTGCACAGTGTAGTGTAACATTTTTGGGTTGGCGTTGGGCAGCCCAAACGCCGTTTGGAGGCCCAAAAATCACGTTTGACTTGAGGCACACAAACTCGCGCCAACTACCGATGTCGTCCTGGAATTATTGCCTTCACTTGTATGTAAGCATTCGGCCATGGGAGGTTCAATCAGAGGCATACTATATGATCGATCTAATGTAAGGTACTAAAATGTATTGGTAATTAAACTAGTCAAAATATATACTAGTTTATAAGTTAATAATCAAAAATCGTAATTGAGATATAATCAAACTGCTTATAAATAAAATATTTTATTAAATCAATCAATATATTAATTTAATAATTTATCAGTTTGACTCAAATTTCTATGACATAGCCAACATTAAGTAGTGAGCTAATTATGAATTATGGCTCCTGTAAATCTATACTCTGACGTTGATCATGTCAGAATCACGTGTGTGGTGGGGTTGCTCCATTTCAGACACTGCACGATGTGCGCGTCGTCTTTATATCTCAGATCTAGACTTGGGCATTTGGCCGTCAACCACGGTAGTGTTCCTTCAATAGTTTCATACTCAATCAAGCTCCATCTAGTTTTTAATTTTTTCACATTTCAACCCCTCGCATTTTTTTTCCATGTCTATTTTTATAAACAATAAAAGGCATAATTTATTTTTCCCTATTTTGCATTCCGTAGACCCTCTATTTATTTATAAAATTTATTCCCCCTCCTTGTGCTAGTGAAATGTTGGATCACTTAATATGACCTTATTTTTGCCAAATCGTTCTTCCTCAAATCACTTAATCCTTTCTTGTCATTCAATTTATCGTTTTCAAGTTTCTCGAAGCCAAGTAGATCAAGAGGACTCAGGACAGGCGTCTCAAAGCCAAGTAAAAAAAAAAAAATTAAGAAGCAGAAGTGGGTATAATGTTTGTGTTTTATATTTAAACTACTAAAATATTATACCTACACACACATATATACATATTAATTTAAAAAAAAAAAAATGAAGGGAATAGCGAAACGAGTTACGAAGTAGAGGACAATTAACCAGCGTACGCAGGTATGCAATATGAATATGCTTACAACTTCATGTCGGTTGGACGGTTTAAAATGATTTATTCATTATTCACAGATAATTAAATAATTAAAATCACTTGAATCCAAAAGGACAGGACAAGATTTAGGTACCTATTATTATTATTATTATTATTATTATTATTATTACTGTTTTTTTATTTTAATGAACAATTTAGATGAATTGAGCCACTAATTTCCGACTCTTGTCTCTACTTATTTTTTGAACAAAATCCCGTCTCTCTTTTTATTGTTCAGTTTTTTTTTTTTGGCCAAATCTTTTTTTCTTCAGTTGAAAAATCAGTAGTATGTAAATTTAAATACACGACTCAAAAAGCTAAACATCATCGAATATTTGGGCTTGTGAGGCAACCTATTAATTAAAAAATAAAAATCTGCTCAGTAATGTGACTTTAGAAAATGTTTTGAAGAACGAAAAATTAAATATTATTTTAAAAAATGAAAAAATAAAAATATTTTTTAAGTATTCTAAAATTATTATTATAAAAAATTAGAGAGAATATTAAAAATACTTGTTTTCATTATTTTTTTATAAAATATTAATTTTCATAATAATAAAACAAAAATATTTTAATTTTTAAACGAGCCCTTATTTTGACCCATCAATATTTATTGCAGGATACTCGAAGTAATGAATGTTTCCAAATGGCACATGAAATTCAAAATAACCAGAAAAGTCAAAACTGAAAAAAAAAAAACTAAAAAGCACATCTAATCTAAATAAAAGGAAGAAGCAGCACCGTTGATCAATCACAATTCATAAGTAACATATTTAATCCCAATCTTTGCCCAAAAATAATACAGGAAAAGAAGCTGGCGCACTGCATCGTTCCTTGATTTGCAATACACTCTAAGAAGCCTTATCACTCATCCAATAAAAAATAAACAAATCCCTCCGCCCCTCCTCTTTGAATGCCTCGAAGCGTCGTCTTTATGAATTTCCAGCGCGCGCGGATCCCCACCGAAATGCGAAGCCCTGTGTGCCTTTTGTCTCTCATCCCCACGCTCCTTCTCTCTCTAACGCCATCGCTCCACCCTCTCCTCTCCAATGCGACCAATATGGCTGTACTCTCCTCAACTCCTATGGCGCCTGGGCCGACCGAGCGTCCTGTCACGCGCTCAACGTCACCTACCCAACCACCGAGCAACAGCTTCGCCTCGCCGTCGCTTACGCCAATCGTAACAATCTCAAGGCCAAGGTCGTCACCAAATTCTCCCACACCATTCCCAAGTTGGCTTGCCCTTCCGCTGATAATACTCTTTTCATCAGTACGGAGAAGTACAGTTCAGGTATTGAAATTGACGCTGCTAATTTGGTTGTGACGGTGGATTCCGGCGTGCCGCTTCGTGATTTGATTGACAGAGTGGAGGAGAGCGGGTTCAGTTTGGTGGCTGCCCCGTATTGGGAGGGTGTGACGGTGGCTGGGTTGATTGCCACGGGTGCCCATGGTAGTTCGTGGTGGGGCAACGGAGGAGCTGTTCATGATCATGTTGTCGGGCTTACTATTGTTGTTCCTGCTTCCAAATCTGAAGGCTACGCCAAGATTTTGAGGCTGGAACAGCACGATCCTCTCCTTAATGCTGCCAGATTATCGTTGGGAATGTTAGGTGCCATCTCCAAGGTCAGTATATCATTTTTTTCAATAGATTAGCTTTGTATTTTCTTTAACTTTAAATCTACTTGCATATATAAAATTCAGCTGAAAGATCAATATATCGATATTTCCTTCCAAAAGCTCACAATTAATGATATTATCGGCTGTCTCCATAGTCCATATCCACGTCTCCAAGCACATGTGATTTTGGGCGGGTACCCATGTATTCGTTTGTACTCATCAATATTCTCGTTATAAATTCAAAAATAATGTCTGTCATTGATTAACTTCTTTTGTATTCTTGCTTTTCGGTTCTATATAAAAGTATAGCATTTGCATGCTAGGAAATTCGAAAAAGTGGCCACGATAGATTATCTCGTTTAGTTTGTTGAATATCGTTTTTTGTTTATATATATAACGTGCAACAGGTAAAGTTATTAATAAAGCATAGGTTCAAGCGAAGCGCAACCTACAATTTTAAGGATGATGTTCATATGGAAGATTTGTACTTGGAGCATGCCAACAAGTATGAATTTGCAGACATCACTTGGTATCCTTCGAAGCACACGGCTGTATACAGATACGATTCCAGGGTTCCCTTAACGTCTCTGGTGATGGCGTATATGACTTTATTGGATTTCAACCCAATTCTATTTTGGTCTCCAAATCAGTTAGGGAAATAGGTAATTAACAATGAGTATCTTCTCCTCCTTTTGATTCTTTATATCTCTATATATTACCATACATGATAAATTAGCGCTGTTGCAGCTTTTTGTCAGTTTTCAAAGTAAAATTTTTAGCGGAAAAAGTGGCCACGATAGATTATCTCGTTTAGTTGTTGAATATCGTTTGTTTATATATATAACGTGCAACAGGTAAAGTTATTAATAAAGCATAGGTTCAAGCGAAGCGCAACCTACAATTTTAAGGATGATGTTCATATGGAAGATTTGTACTTGGAGCATGCCAACAAGTATGAATTTGCAGACATCACTTGGTATCCTTCGAAGCACACGGCTGTATACAGATACGATTCCAGGGTTCCCTTAAACGTCTCTGGTGATGGCGTATATGACTTTATTGGATTTCAACCCAATTCTATTTTGGTCTCCAAATCAGTTAGGGAAATAGGTAATTAACAATGAGTATCTTCTCCTCCTTTTGATTCTTTATATCTCTATATTACCATACAATGATAAATTAGCGCTGTTGCAGCTTTTGTCAGTTTTCAAAGTATTTATTAGCGGATTCATGTAAATAAAAGTTTCAAGATATCTAATCATGTAAGTTGTAATATGCTTCATTGTAACTAAAATATGTCCAGTAAATAAATTTTTATTGAAGAATTTCATGATAAATGCTTAAAATTAAAAGTACGTACTGTTATTATTTTTCTTGTTTCACACACACACACACACACACACACACACACACACACAGATAGAGATAGATGGTTTGGATTTTGCTGGATGGTTCCCTTTTAATTTGTTGACCCACCAATAATTTAGTGATGATATATATTAATTAAATTTTGATCAAATGCAGAAAAATTGCAGGAAAATAGGAGGGATGTGAATGGAAAATGCCTAACGGCAACAACTACAGTAGCATACAAGAAATTAATGGGAAATGGGTTGAAGAACAATGGCCTGATCTTCACAGGCTATCCAGTAGTGGGATACCAAGGAAAAATACAAACTTCAGGTTCGTGCTTATATTCGACAAGAATTGACACATCGTGTGCTTGGGATCCCAGAATCAACGGACTATTCTTTTACGAGAGCACTGCAATCTTCTCTGGATCCACCTTCGGGGACTTCGTGCGTGATGTGAAAAAACTAAGAGACTTGAACTCACAAAACTTCTGTGGCCTGGACATCTACAATGGCTTCTTAATACGCTTTATCAAAGCCTCAAATGCATCTCTAGGCCAATCCCAAGACTCGGTGGTGATTGATTTCAACTATTACCGTGCGGACGACCCCTCGACTCCGAGATTAAACCAGGATGTGTGGGAAGAGGTGGAGCAAATGGCGTTCTTCAAATATGGAGCCAAGCCACATTGGGCCAAGAATAGGAACGTGGCTTTCTTGGGTGTGCAGGATAAGTATCCCAAGTTTAAGGAGTTCATTACAGCCAAGCAACAATTGGATCCTCAGAATATGTTCTCAAGTAAATGGTCAGATGACTTAGTGTATGGCAAACAAGGGGAAAAAGTTGACGGGTGCGCGTTGGAGGGACTGTGTATATGTTCTGAAGACAGACATTGCAGTCCACAAAAGGGGTATTTTTGCAGACAAGGCCTCGTCTACAAAGAAGCCCGAGTTTGTAGGTACTCACCGTTCTCCATTGCCTGATGCTTTTGTGGTACACACACACACATATATTACTCTACTCGTCATTATGTAATTAATAATTAAGTGAGAATTCACATTTTATGGGGGAATTTTTCAGAATTTCGTATGGCAAACATTTATAAGCATCATTCATGAATTGCATAGACTATAGAGTACCATATGATCCTACCTCCTAAGCTGACCTTTTCATACAAATAATTGGTCGGTCATGCAGTGAGATAATTAAACAGTTTGTTATTTTTATGTTGAAAGTTGATATAAGATAGAAAGAGATCAGTGTTCAGCTGTGTCTGGTTCAATTTAATTATGGATCATCTCTACAAAAGATCAGTTGATTCTGCTTTTTATAATTCTGAAAGTTTATTGTGGAAATTTGACTAATCAAATCAAAGAAGGTAGCTAGTTTAGTGTGACGTAGCCATACCTTCTCTATTTCTGCGTGACGAATATATGAAGATGCAACTTGCAAGCAATAGCAAGAGTGACGTCTGCGTATGGGAAACGAAGGTGCGAAACTTTATCAGGGTTTGGCCGCGAACCATAAAACTGAAAGTAGCTGGTTATTAAAAAAAAAATGTGGATCTTTATACCAACAAAAAATTATGCAATGATCTCATCATATCTGTGTTTGAGAAATTAACTTTAAGAGAATAGAACATACAAATAATCTTCACACTCACAATAGCCAGGTGCTGTCCATTGATTCCATGGCAAGCTCAATGGTCGTGAGAGTGAATGAAGCTAGTGAATGACGAAGCATGAAAGAGCAATGATGATAACACACAATCAAGGGTTGATTTGAATTTCCAACTTTCTATCCCCAGTCATATTACTTTATTTGTGACTTTAATTAATTGGTGATTCGGCACTATCACACACGCACAAAAACCATCTTCCTTCCAGTAGCAGCTCTACTACTACAAATATGCAGTTTCTTGTAAGATTCGTGAGGATAATTCTTTGGTCAACATTAATTTGTTCGTGTTTGGCTTTTAGACTTAGCCTCCACGTGCAAATTCTGTGGTATGTCCTGCCATAAAGTTATGGGTATGTATCAACGTGTATAAATAGATCAATATTCATTTAACTTATTGGACTTTTATTTTCGATAAATACCTTCGATATTTAGTATTTTATAAAAAAATTAATAGAAGTTTAAAGGCAAAGCAAAGTCATTATTATAGTATTTTGAGATAAATATTAAATCAGAAGAAATTTGTTCTTTGATCAAGAGACAGTTTCTAATAATTGGGAGAAGTACATTCATGTCTCCTATAATATAATTAAATATCACAAAATTCATTAGCATTGCAAAATAACATCATTTGTTATGTGTTGTGTGGACCTAATCGTATCGTATTTCTAGACAAATAAATATAATTTTCCAAAATTTGAACTCTTTATTGTCACATGATGTTGAAACGAGTAGAAAGTAGATGATGATGAAACATTATTTTCCCCGAAAAAAAAAATCAATGATGAAAAAAATAACGCCTTATATCTCCTCATAATTGCCTCCAGAAAGTAGCGAAAAAGCACTAAATTACAGCGTCCACCTTTATATCTCTGGAGTCTGGAATGGCATCATGACATTAGACTTCTTCGTTTCTTTATGCTTTAAATGAAGGTGGAATAAATGAAAACTGGAATGTCTATGGAAGATTACTATATTGAGAGATTGAGAGTGAAGGAAACAATTTTAAATTTTCAAAAGCATAGAGCTTGCCAACTTGGCGAAAATATAAATTGCAATTTGTAACGGAAAATTTGGTACCATGGCACTTAATATAATTACTCTAAAGTTTATATTTTTCATACTATAATCTTATACTGAATAATATTGAGGTCATGTTTAGACATTATCAAACCTTAGGAATAACTTTTTTTTTTTTAGAACAGCCTTGGGAATAACTCGATCCGGGAAAAGTAAGTTGATAATTATTGTGCTAAATAATTGAGCTTTCCCGGATATCCCACCTCGGTAAAAATCGCGACAGCCCAAAATGTCCGACTCACTGCCTCAGTGCCCCTTTGAAATATGAGTAGGAAGAAACTCGCATTTGAACAAACTATATCTGTTACATTGATTTTTGACACTTTACATGATAAGTTACAGCTACAGTACTATCAACGTGAACTTATTAGATTGACCAATTACATTGTTCAATCTTCCGTCTAGTGGCTGATGGGGCCTGTCAGACAAAATGCACCACAACAAGCCCTAAAAAGCTGAGGGGGCTATCCCAAGGCTTCCCCATTAAACACAAAATATAAATTTATAGTAGCAAATCAAATGCTACTCACAGAATGTTGATTAAAATACATAGATATAAAGGTCTTCTGCTTGCTTTATATCAGCTTAACATCAGGCTTCGCAATCAGCCACATATGAAGTGGCGGGAATCTCACTTTCAAAATCGAAACCATGCTCTTGCCCTGAGAGTCACTTTGATACTCCTCCTTAAATATTCTCATGCAGCATGTAAGGGGGCACAGCAGTTGCTGACATTTTTTGACAAGAACAGAAGGAGCAGGTATCAAAGAAAAGCTTTATGAGTATAATTACATTAGACTTGATAGCAAAAAGAGATTCTGAGAACCTACCAGATTCTTGAATGTTAAAGGACTTCTCTAATTTTCATGATCCTTTATTTTGGTTTCCTTCAAATTTCTCTGCTGTTTGCATCCCTGAAAAGTAACCAAGCTGGGCCTTTTCTTGTGATTACTAGGTTTCTCAAATTTCAAATCTTCCCCTCTGATCATGTAGATATTCCCCAAATCTGGCAGGGTGAAATCAGCTGGATTTCTATTTATGCTGCAAGAATTGGAAATACATCTGTCCTTTGAAGGTGCTAAGGTCACACAACTACCAAGAACTTCCAATTTACGTTGCAGTGAAGTTTCTGTTTCTGTTTCGACATACGTCCAACTAAACTGTTTATTTCCTCTATTCTGCAAGACTGGGTTGGAGCTCTTAATCTTCTTCTTTCCAGACTTTGGGGATACTTGATTATTGAAGCTTCCAGATTTAATAAATTTCTCTTCATGCTGAATTGATGAAGATGCACCCAAGGTTGGTGAACTAAGAAAACAACCATGTGATTTATTTGATAAGTAATTCTTGCTGTAACTATCAGATGATGGTTGTTTCAGAGAACTGAGCGCCTTATCAATCTCCAATTTACTATTACAATTGCCATGATAAGAGGGCCTGTTGAATATTTGAGCACCAACACAAGCATTGATGGGTTTAACAGACCTCATTCCCGCATCCATAAGGCTGAGTAAATGCATGGCTGGTATTATCTCATTAGAATACGAATCCAGAGATCCCCTCATATTTTGTTGAGGCTCTATTCCATTATGTTTGCATGGAAATGGGTATTCTTCATTCATCTTATTGAAGGTTCCAGAATCTGCATTCCTACTAAGCTTTTCAAGGCCAGTAGCATTTAAATTCAAGCAATTAAGATCAACATCCCTGTTCATGTTCTGCTTACGTAGCTTGTCAGTTTGGAGTGAATTCATACCTATAGCAGTACGAGTAGATTGAGAGACAGCCCTTTTGGGTATGTCATATCCCAGGGACAAATGATTTGGGGTTAAGGATGCCCAAATATGAGAAGCTTTATCATCTGGATGCAAAATAGTCTTGTGCAAGCTACATCCTCCCGGGACTTGCAAAATAGAATCAGTGGATTCACGCTCTGCATTACTTCCATTCATCTTGCAATTTTGAGCACTACCACAAAGGCTGGATCCCATGGGTGAAAAATGAAATCCATTTGGTGGCCTCTTTTGGGAACTGGAAACTTCAGACTGAAAGGAGGACTGAGGTTGACAAAGACTTTTCATATTCAAATGGTTTCCAACATCAATTGGAGAAGAGTAGTGAACTGACTTTCTTTTGCCTGACCTCACATTCTCTCCCCGCAAGGTCATGCCATTTTCCCCATGTCTTCCCTGAGGTTTTACTTTCTGACCCTCTTGTAACAAGGTAAATTCCCCTTTTCCATAAACGCCAGCGCCAACTGTCATCTGTGTTTTCCTTTCGTTAGTAGATCTCGTCAGCTGATGGCTTCTATTTTCTGCTTCAGAAAGACGCCTCTCATGCTGATTCTTTGCCATCAGCTCCACAATTTCTATGGGTATATCATCTAATGTCCCCTGCTCAGACACTATGTTAGCTGTTTGATCACCACTGGTTTCCATGACACTTGCATGCTCCAGAGCTTCAACTGGTTTTTGTGTGTTTTTTGAACCAATAATTTCCTGCAAACATAAAGTTATTTCCTTTGAAACACTTGTACCCTATGTGCTTGATTATTGAGCCAATAAGAAGACATTCATGCAATGAATACATCAGAGATAAGAATTTCTTTTCCAAAGTAGTGGTTCACCACTAACACAAACTAAAAAGACCAATTCACAAGAAGCCCAACTGGCCACTACCAAGACAAGCACAGGCTATTGATAAGGAACTAAAAGTACTTTGAAGAATCATAAGAAGAAGCTAATCAACTAGCACGAATGATTACTGGACACATCACAAGATTAATCTGACTTTTCTTGTTGATGCCAAAAATCCATTTTGTAATTCAAAAAGTAAAAAAAAAAAATTCACAATGGAAAAGGATGAGGAAATTATACGAGTACAAAACTGATTAACATACTAAGATACTGTTCGTGCTCCACAAAAAATAAATATATCAGTAATTGAAGTTAAGAATGAGAAAGAAAAACTAACTACAAATACCATTTGCTTGTCCTGGAGATGATTCCCATCTTCAACCAGAGAGGCATACTCATGCTTTTTATCAGTAAAAATCATTCTAAGGGGCTTTTTACTTCTACTTACCTCACGACTTACCCCTTTGTCAGAAATAGCATCTGTTATCTGCTTGTAAGGAATGCTTGACTCTCCTACAACATCAGTTTCTCTGCCTTTCCTTATAAGATTATGTGCTTTTGATGTGCCCTCTTGTGAAGACAATGAGAAAGGTAGTTGATTCTCAATTTGACTGATGCATTTTTCGTTGTAAGCCTGAGCTTCCAAAAAACTGTTTGGAGAAAGATGTAGTCCCTCTATTACTCCTTTTTCATTCGTTATGGAACCTTGTGCTGAAGGAATCGGAAAAACTACAGGCATATTTGACATTAATTTTGCTCCTGTAACAGCAAAGGAATCTTCTACAAGCTTGTCATTTTTCCAACAAGATAAGGAAGCCAGATCCCCACCAACTTGCAGCATCTTCCCTTTTTGTTTGGACAAATTGCATTTATTTCCTAATTTTAGAGCATGAAAAGGAAAGCAATCCATCCCTTTTTCTGAAAAGGCACAAGAAGGTGATGTGATAGAGAGAGTTTTAGATGCATATGCCTTACTCACAACATGCATATTCTCCTCGTTTTGGTGTGGATAAGATCTCAAATGTTTGTCAACAACTTGTATCTTCTTCTTCTTCTTATTACCCATTGTAAGGCTTCTACCAATTTCAGGTTTACTCCAGTAGCTCTTCACATTTTCTTGTAAACCTATTGTGGAATGCACATCTTTAGATCCAGTATCCAGAATAGTGCCATTTACTTCTGCATCTCCCTCTAAGTTTTGACTTTCATTGTCCACCCTATGTGAGGAAATTTCAGCAGGTTTCAGCTCTTCATCCAGGAGAAATTTTTTTACATTCTTATCTGGATTTGTCAAGTCTCCCTGAACATCAGCAATACACAGAGAAATCGGCGGCGTCTGGAAAGCTGCAGATGCCTCGGAAGTACCATCAGATGGGAACCCTTGCATGGCAAACTTGCCAGTCTGTGTCTCAACACTTTCACTTAACAAGTCAGTTAGCAGGCGCACCTTTCGAGGCTTCCTGCGAGGCAAACCAGATGACTTTTCTAGATGATGATCCTGAAAATCATTTCCAACCAAATTTTCTGTAATTGTTGATAAAGCCTTTTGACTAGCAACTGACTCTATAGGGGAATGTCCAGTTGTGTCATGAGTAGTATGGTCTGCCACAGCAACTGCCTTGCCAACCTCCAAAACTGAACAAGTTTTGTTTAGTTCTTTCTGGCATTGGTCATGAGCAGAAATAAGTGTTCCTCCGTTACAAAACTCAGAAGAACTCGGGTCTGCACATTTGAGATTGCTTGTTGCAAGCTTAACATCAGAAACTTCATTACCTTCAAAGACTATCTCGAAAGAAAAAAAAAAAAAAAGATACTTGAGCTGCATTTGAAATCAGTGTAGTGTTGCTACAATCCATAAAAGTATTCACAGGTAAGGGGGAAAAATTACTGTTAGTTGACAGCTAATATAATTAAAATTTACCTTTACCATTTGTAGGTGCTTCCAGTGTGAACCATGGATAAACGTCAGGTGGTGAAACACTAGTTATTTGATGATTAAGCCTGCCCTCTACACCACTCTCATGATCTGAAGAAAACATAGAAAATCAAACCACACATTGTAAAAGACTGACCATAATACTCATGTAAAACTGAACCTTTAACTTACCTATCATTCTGCTGTTTACAACTTCAGCTGTCTTCTCTTTCTCATTATTAGTCCATGAGCAATCATTTTGACAGCTTAAATTAGTAGAACTATTAAGATCAATTCCTCTATTTTCAATAGTATCAGGTGTTGAAGCTAGCTGCAGCTGAATATCAGACCTGACAGCTGCATTACTAAAGCAATTGCTAGCAGATTTGCATCCAGTACAGCAACAATGAAATTCTCCTTGGTTATCTTTATCACTGCCTTCAGCAACAACTTCTTGCTGACAAGTTTGACAGCACCGCCATCTGAATTTGGGTACATCTAATGGCGGAAGCAAACATTGTTGATCCTCAGACTCACCATGGTTCCCTTGTAAAGGAAATGGCCAACACAATTTCCAGTCCTTTTTACGAATTTCAGATACATATCCGCTACATCAACAGTAAAAATATATCGGACATGAGGAACATAACCTTTTGAAAACGGACCAAAGATCTGTTATTCCACAGAAGAAAAATTAATTAAGTATTTTTTTTCTTTTTCTTTGCAAAAAGAATATGACTAGCCAACAACATAATGGATATAGCAATCTTCAAAACTATTCATTTGATCATAGTCTTGCCACTAAGTTAATAAATTGACTTCAACTTTGCAGTTCTGGAATCTGTTAATCTGAACATAGTGTGAATGGAGATATAGAAACAATATATGTCTAACTTGTCGTTCAAATTGCTTTTATATATCAATCCACCAAAAATAAACGATACTCAGAAATCATGCAAACTTAACTAGAATGTTTGTATCTTCAAGGCCTACCGTATTGAGAAATGATGATCACATTTTCCTGCATCACTCTTTTCAATAGAATTGGCAAGATCTATGGAGATGGAGTCAATCTGGATAAGTGATCCCATGACTTTGATGACAGTGTTTCAAGACATCCTTTGAATGAATGGTTCTCCACAGCGATGTTTGCTCATCTCCGCAGTAAATACAAGCAACCAAAGCTAGAATAGCATGAATAGAGTTTATATTATTCGACAGTAGTAGAATACCATAGTTGTATAATGGAAACAAGTTAAGGTTCTACGTACAAACTGAGTCAAGATTCACTAATTGAGTTATGATAATCACCACATTGTGAGAGATTTATTTTCATGTAAGCAAGGAAAACACCTTGAGACATATGAAGATATATTAAGCAAACTTCCCGGCAAACTGCTAGGGTTTATGCAACTCCTTACAAATCAAAAGGAAAGACGTGTTAAAGAAGACGACTATTACGGTCAAAGTGGAATAAATTATATGAAATCTTCAAACACGGTGATTAGACACATAAAATAACAACATTAAACAGTATGAAATCACAGAAGCCCTAGTTTCCCATCAATAACTCCAACACTACATAAGCTCAAATTTAGTATCTCCATTGTTTAAAATCATATAACGTAGATAACAAAGCCCGCGCAACCATCTAAGTTCATAAAAGGAAGAATACGTACATGAACTAAGACTCACTACATACTAGGGTTTTTTAAATTCCATGAAGAAAACTAGTCATGTTATGTCGCAAATATCTAAGGATAGGAATTGACTTCCGAAGCCCACAGCGCGCCCGCATTATGAAGTCAGAACCTGGTTAGAAAACAATCTGTTACAAAAAACTAAAATTTCAAGGTTCATCGGTCAAGATGTATAATTCACCTCTTATTGACTCACAAGCTCCGTTAAATTGAAAGTGAATAACCCAAATAGCAAGGAAAATGCGAGAAAAGTGTTAAACGGCGCCAATAAGGTCAAACGCAGATAAAATAACACAAAGCAGAAGCTAAACTGGACATACCATAAACAGTACTGTCACTAAAATATCTCCAAAAAAAAAAATCTCAACAACAGCCGGAACTGGTCCCGATTAACACGGAATCAACAACCAACTCCAAAACCAGAGCAATAAAAAGCAATCTGAAGGCGAAAGCGTACCTAAACTAAACTGAGGGCCAGCCCAGACGATCCATCCCAGCTAGGCACCGAATCTTAACGGCTCATCGAAGTGGTAGTAGTGAAAGATAAAGCATTTGACGGGTAAGAGATAGAGGGTAGCTCAGTGATGGGATTCCCAGCGCGGTGGCTGCAATTTGAGTGCGAAAGACACAGAAACCCTAGAGAGAGAGGGGCTTTCGATTCTTTCGAGAGGAGAGAGGAGAGGGAAAGAGAGAGTTTTTATCCTTGTCCTTGCAAGATGGTGGTGCTGTCTGGCGTTGTATTTTAAAAACGCCATACCATGTCATATCTGTATGTGATCCATCCCCTTAGAAATTGTAAATCTAGAGAAAGGGTGTGAGGACAGAGAAACTTACCACCAATCATCACCTGCCAAGTGGCGAAAGTGTGCGGTTCTCATCACTAACTAATTAAAATAACCAGCGGGCGATTGTAAATCGCAAGGAAACCCTAGATGGGAGGGCGGGGGAGGGAAAAAACAAAAAGGAAAGGAAAAGAAAAAGAGGGGAAAAGCGGGAACAGTCTCGCGCGTTGGCGACACGCCCTTTGTTTTCGGGTTGGATTTAACAATTTGTGCCTGTCGTGTCAACGAAGGCTAAAGGTGCTCATGCTCTATGCACATAAAACGGTTGTGATTAGTGCGTGATTTTTACGATTTGTGAAGGAGGGTGGGCGTACGTGGAGAGATATTCGAAACCCTAGGTCTTTTTCTTGAAAGGGAAATTAAAACGAAGGGCAGCGGGTGCGTAACCCTAACATTTTATTGCGGTTGGAACACATAAGCATCTCTATCCAAAATCCCTTGTTAGATCTGAAACGAGTGAAAGTGAAGATAAGGTTTGCTTTCCATCAAATGAATGAATGACATGCTCAAGTGACATTTTAATGGTTTTATCGATATCAATACCTGTATATCATAACTTCACATAAATGCATCTTAAATTTTGCATCTAAAAGTCAATTAATTAATTAAGCTTGGCATGTAGTAATAGATTGTGAATATAGATAGACACATTTGATGAGCTACAAGAAAATTACGGCGAGATCAGTTTATTGTAACTGATTAGGCATTCAATTGTCGTATCGACTGTATTTCGAATGTTATGTGAATTGTCATAAAAAAATAATAATATCATATGCACGAACGCCTGTTTGAGGGCTATCCAAAATATAATATATTGAAAACAAAATTAAATATTCAGTAGAAGACTCCAGATAATTGATGCTTATGGTTAATTTTTACATTATCCGAGTGATTGCTTTTATTTTGAAATTTTAATTTCATAATATGATCTGTTTAATGTCAAAACTAGCATTTCATAGAGGTCAGGGCTCTGTGTTTGTTGCGTGTTAATGATCCCTGACATATTTCCAAAATTCCAACTCCGCAGCGCAATAAATAGAATTAGAATAGGTTGCTTGGTATGAAGCTCCTGATCGCACATGTATAATGACTTTTCCGATTTTAGAAAATTATGCAAAAGTACAAACGGCATTTCAACTGGAATCACTCGAAACAAAACTCCCAGATTAACTTCTGGGCTAATTAGTTTTGATTTGAACGGAGTAACAAATAAGAGCAAATCCAGTGAACATTTTCTGGGTTTGGATTGATGCTGCCACTTTATCTTTATGACTTACTTTTTCTCACTGGGCACACTTTATATCATACAAAAGAATAGTTATAAGTTGATCATGCATGAAAGACCTAGCTATATGTTGGACCATAACTAAGAAAAACGACTCCTTTATGTTTTAGTTTCTGCGTCTGAATTTATTTCATCCGAATTCCAGATCTGGAGAAACATGTGCGTGTGTGCATTAGTGGTTGTATGAGTGGCTCATGGTGGATAGGTTGCTCTTGTTATGTTGGGAGAGGGGGCCCTATGAGTCATGATGCATACGGATATAAAAGCCACCATAAAGAAACAGTGTATAGTCTTTCATGCCCCATGTGGTCATTTTGTAATGCCAAATAAAGCCTGTACAAATTTTACACTTGTCCGACACACACACACACACACACATTTTCTTCGCTCATCATATCTCAAATTTTATATTGACGACTATAGTGTATACAACTAAGCTTGTTAATTAACCCAAACTTTTCGTTCATTCCTATAATTAATTTAGGGGAATCTAATGCTTTCCTCGACCAGACTTTAAGCCGGCGCATGCCTCTGCGTTGGTCACATCATTCTTGTTTAATTAAATCTCTCTCCCAACATACTAAATCTAATAAATATCATATATATCATATATATATATATATATATATATCTTGCCGCCGCCAGTATCCAAGTCCTTATATATATAACGCTCAAAGCAAGCTAATCTAACGAGGACAAAAGGAAGCACCAGAAAAGTTCGTTATAACTTACAATACGAAAAGTAATCCTTCGCGGCTTTTTTTTTTCTGGAAATAAATTACCAGCTGTCTCCAATTTTTATGGGCTTTATCATACGAAAATTAAATCGGTGGCTCCCTAATTTCGACAGAACCATAATTATAGCCTATGAGGTGTTTGATAAGATCAACCTTTTTCAGCGCACTTGATGCAAATTAAATTATACATACTATTATTGTTTGTCTTTCTGCAGCTTATTACTATATGTAAACAATAAATGTAAGTGTACGTGTAGTATATATAAATACCACTCTTCATTCCTTACTTTCCTTCTCGTTTGCTTTTGCCTTGATCTCTGACCTAGAAGCATGACCAGGGGTTTTACTTCACCTTAATTAATTCATCGATAACAATTAGCACAATTATCTTCGTTTAATTATTTAGAAGTTTCGATATTTAATTAGATAAGATTCGCAGCCGGCGATCGAGCTATCAGTGATGAAAAAGTTTCTGACATAATTAATCCCGTTCCTAACGGCTGGTAACTAATCAAGCTCAAGCTTCGTCATCGTAGTATCATTCATCACGATCATCAGATCCATGGGTCGTTGAAATTAGTTAATTGAAGCTTTCAGATCAAAGCGAGTCTAATAATACAAGATTTTGGGTTTTAATCTCTGACGAACGAGCCTCGAATGATGAATTGATTCAGGATTATGGGGCTTTCAAATTACCTGTTTGGCCGAGGAAAACGAAAGAACGAAGGCCCCATTAAGATCGTATATACAGCACTGGATCTGCTTTTTTCAGCTTCGCATTACTCGTCATCATGTCGTTTTCGTGTCTTTCTGATAATTCACAATTCGAAAACCTCTCGCATCAGATGAACTGCCTCTTTTATGGACCTGGAATTCAACACGTTCGCCGACATATGTATAATTCCAAACAGACACTCGTTTTCTTAACAGCCACCTCTGTCCTTGTCCTTAATTTTAACTGGAAAGTGACTCGCTCTGAGTAATCTCATGGATGAACAGTTGTGAATGGGTAAAAGAACAAAGATCTCGATATAACTTGCAGTCTTGCAGCAATGAAAATAATGGAAGCCGAACTGCTTCAGGGTTGGCAGGGCTTGATGGGACAACACTGTGTGATTATATATTTGCAAAAGCCAACATACATGCCGACTTAATGCGCAAATTTAGGCTTTGAAAACATAGGTGCCCACCCCCAAATAAAATGGATATGTAATTTAATTTGCGTCAATTGATTAAAGCTAATCATATGGCGTTAATTAAAACGAATAAAGTGCGAGGGGATGATTTAAATTGCAGATCCGAGCTCTGCTTCGTCTTCTGAGCAAGCTGTATGCGGTGGGAAATGTATTCACTGCGAAGAAAAGGTCAGTGACGTCGGTGGAAATGACTTGGGAGAGGTGAGACGGATAAGTGAGAAGCTTATGATTTTTTTACGTGTCGTTGGTTTGAAGCCCGAAGGATCATTTTCAAGCGAGAAACAAGACAGGTCAAACTCAAACGGATGGCCTTCGATCTTTCGTGCCTTCCAGCATGAAGTGACACGTATATTCGACTGCGGGATATTTTCCATTTTTAAACTCTTGATTCGTTTAAGAGATAGTTGGACAGGCGATGCTTGATTTGCATTGAGAATTAAATTCTTTGCAAATGCAGTTATGGCCAATTAAATTCATATTGTCCGCTGTTGTTAATTTATAAGATATTTTTAAAAGTAATTTAATATTGTCTTAGAATATTAGATGTTTTAATAAAAAAAACTTATTAATGGTAATTATTTTAAAGATAAGAGTGTAAATTTAATAATAAATTATTTTTCAAGAAGCATCTTGTATCCTATGTTATTGGGTTGAGTAAAATAAATTATCAATTATAAAAATAGAGCTTGATGTCCAAACCGCCGTTTATTTCCTAACCTGATGTCCAACGCATCTGCTTCACATACACTCTTCACATATTTCATCTTTTCTGTCATACCACCACCACAGCTCCGCCGGCAAGTCTAAGGAATTATCCAACTTAAAGTCTAGGGATGTGCCTAGCGATCCTGTTGTGGATCAGGGAATCTCGGGCATCTATCGTCTTGGAACACACAATTCTCAAAGTCTCGTTGAAGACACTGGTTAACGAAAGCTTCAAAGTGGTATAACACTGCCTTCGAGTACTTGGCGTTCAGGGACAGCTTGAATGGTTGGGGAAGCTGGTTAAGATTATGAGGGTTTTACATGATTGCTTCACTGATAACCTGCCTTCCGATACTATCTGCAAGAACCCCTCTACCATTACTTCCTCACTTACAGGCATCACATTTTCCACGCTTCCAAGCCCCACCAGATGGTTTTCCTCTCTTAGGCAGATTTTTGAGCTTTTCCATGAACACGGCAATCCTTAGTCAATCTCGATGCTTTTTCCAGCTCTTCACGACGATAACTCTTCAAGTACTCTAACTTTTGTTTAAGCTCCCAAAATTAAGATTTCATCTCTAAAACCTCCGTTGAGGTGGCATCTCTTTTCTCATTTGCTTCAATGAGGTCTTTCATTAGTGTCTCGATTGACACGTTTCCCAAGTACTTGGGAAGATGAGAAACCTCCTCGGTCTTTATTTTGTTTGGGGAAGTCTCGTCCTTGTCATGCTGCTTCTTTAGCCGAGGGAAAACGGCTAAGAAATAACCCCCTTACTCTTAGGTTGCGATGGAACATCGAGACGAGCGAGAATCTGCAAGAGAGACAAGAATAGTGGAACTGGAAGTGTTGGCGTTACTCGTGTTTTCAGATCCTGCAGGGATGAGGGGAGGCTAACATCTATTGCAGGAGGACAGAGAGTTGAAGTCATCCGAGTTGTTTCTTTCCTGGACTTGAAGTAGTCATTACCG